TAAAAAATAAAGAGGACCGTGTGGTAAATCCATGTTATCCGCTGCTCAGCTTTGTCCCTAACTGGTACTTTTTAGTTTTAAAAATGGTTCAGAGGACGTAAGGAGTAGATCACTTATGAAAAATATAAGTGGGGTTTCTCATTCTTTTAAACTAGTTTTTCCATACAGTATACCCTATAATTTTTTTCTAGTAAAATAATTTCCAGAATTTATTGTTTTGTTTTTTACCTTTTCTGTTTGGATAGAAAAGATCTTGTATGCCTAATACAACATGGGAAGGAATCTGGTCCTTGAGACGGTTGCTCCCTGATGATTTCCAAATAGGAGTGAAAGAGCTGCTCCTCCTCTCATGGGACTTTTGTGAGTCTGTCCTGAGGAGGCAGTAGCCAAGTGTTTGGGGTATTAAAGGAGCAACTTGGTTCTCTTATCTTTTTGGGAGACATAAGCCATTTCTGTCTTAGCAAGAAGAAAGGTTAATTCTGAGTTTAAAATTTAGTATAAGAAGTTTATTTTTTAAAATGAACTTTTAAAGAAGGGAAAAGTTGAAGAATCCATTTTAGGGCTAACAAATGGAACCATTCTGGAGATGTATTCATGCAGTGTTGATTGAAATTGTTTGCACAGTAGAAAAAATATTAATCTCTCCACCTGTACTCATAACCTTCATCAAAATGAGCTTTCTTTGAGAAATAGCTATATTCATGTTTGGACCCCTCTGGAGAACATGAGCTACTTTTAGGGCAAATCTCTCCTATCCTTCCTTTTCTGTATCTCTCATATTCTTGCATAATACCTTTATATTCTGGAGGCTTTCTTAAAGACAGTCTTCTAATTGAGTAGAGACAGAATAAAGAAGTATTTTTCAGCTCGGTGTGTTGGCTCACTCCTGTAATCTTAGCACTTTGTGAGGCCAAGGTGTGTGGATTGCTTGAGGCTAGAAGTTCAAGACCAGCCTCGCCAACATGGCAAAACCCCAACTCTAATAAAAATACAAAAATTGGCCGGGTGTGGTGGCATGTGCCTGCAATCCCACCTGCTTGGGAGGCTTAGGCAATAAGAATTGCTTGAACTGGGAGGCGGAGATCATGCCACTACACTCCAGCCATATCAAAAACAAAGTGTAATATATATTATACATACATGTTTTTTCAAAGTTGCACTACTAATTTATAAAGAACTAGCAAGCAAAGATCCAATTGAATTTTGAATTCTGTTTTTACCCATTCAGAGGTCTTTTTTTTTTTTTGAGATGGAGTTTCACTTTTGTTGCCCAGGCTGGAGTGCAATGGCGTGATCTTGGCCTACTGCAGCCTCTGCCTCCCAGGTTCAAGCAGTTCTGTCTCAGCCTCCATGCGTAGCTGGGATTACAGGCATGCACTACCAAACCCAGTTAATATTTGTATTTTTAGTAGAATTGGGGTTTCTCCATGTTGGTCAGACTGATCTCAAACTCCCAACCTAAGGTTATCCTCCCGCCTTGACATGCCAAAGTGCTGGGATTACAGGCCTGAGCCACTGCACCTGGCCCAGAGGTCTTATTTGTAATACTCAACTCAAGATTCATTTGACTAATGTGTTTAGCAATGTTAGGAGGAATAAAGAAGACAAGGTTCCAATTAAATAGCCGTTAATCTCAACCAGAACTTTTTGGATATAAATTTTCAGTGCTTTGTGTTCTAAATCATTTGAAAAGTGTGTCTGTGTTCTCTGATAATTGTTTTATAAAATGTTTTTTAAAATCTCTTTTAAAATTCATTATAAGAAGCTGGGCGTGGTGGCTTACATCTATAGTCCCAGCACTTTGGGAGGCAGAAACGAGAAGACTGCTTAAACACAGGAGTTTGAGATCAGCCTGGGCAACATGAGAAAACGCTGTATCCAAAGAAAATACAAAAATTAGCCAGGTGTGGTGTTGTGTGCCTGTAGTCTCAACTACTTGGGGGACTGAGGTAGGAGGATCACCCAAGCCCAGAGAGGAGAGGTCAAAGCTGCAGTGAGCCATGAACGCACCACTGTACTCCAGCCTGGGCAGCAGAGTGAAACCCAGTCGCAAAAAAAAAAAAAAAATCAAAATATTATAAGCAGACAAACTTCTTTTGACAGAGGCACATGTGTTTGTGTAAATTTAGAGGCCTTGTCATGGAAATAACAAGTTCTTGGTTCAGCTGTTCAATTTCATGTATATTGGACATTCTCCTTAACAGCTTTGAAGGATTGCTGCAGTAGCTTAGTCCTGTAATCCCACCACTTTGGGAGGCCAAGATGGGCAGATTGCTTGAGTGTAGGAGTTAGAGACCAGCCTGGGCAATATGGTGAGTCCTCAAGTCCACAGAAAATACAAAAATTAGCCAGGTGTGGTAGTGTGTGCCTGTAGTCTCATATACTTGGGAGGCTGAGGTGGGAGGATCATCTGAGCCCAGGAGGTTGAGGATGCAGTGAGCTGTAATCGTACTTTTGCAGTCCAGCCTGGGCAAAGATTGAGACCCTTTTTCAGAAGACAAACCAAAGAAACCTCTGTATCACAGGTTACACATAAAATGGGTGTAACATCTACCTTATGGTATTTTCTGATAGTCAAATAAGATGATGTATCCAAAAGACATTTTATACAGGGTAGTCAAATGCTAGATTAGTCTTCCTACCTTTCCCTCTAGAAAGGTTAGAAATTTTCCAAGTCACAGAAAATTTTCATCTTGTTTTTTTTTTTTGAAAAAAACAAATGGAAATGAAAATATTATATTTTAGAACATCCTTTCAATGAATTTTAATATTAAATATTAGAAAATATCAGTTTCTAAAATATTTATGTAAACATATTACTTTAGAGAGTTTTATAAACTTAAATTTTATTTTGGGATTTTATTTACTTAGTTTATTTTAGAGATGGAGCTTTGCCCTGTTGCCCAGGCTGAAGTGCAGTAGCGCAATCATAACTTACCACAGCCTCCAACTCCGGGGCTCAATTGGTCCCCCTGCTTCAAACTCCTGAGCATCTGGAGCTATGGCATGCACCACCACACCAAGCTAATTTTTATTTTATTTTTTATAAAGATGGGATCTTGCTGTATTGCTCAGGTTAGTCTTAAACTCCTGGCCTCGACTTCCCAAAGCGCTGTGGTTACAGGTGTGAATTACTGCTCCCAGCCTCTATTTTTAGCTTTTTGTATGTTTGGATTCTCTCTAGAATTATTTTTAACCTTTAATTTCACATCATTTTCTGCATTGGTTATATCTATTAAGGATAATTGTTTTCTCTTATGGAATTTTGAATTTATTTGTGTTTTTGTTTTCTTTAGAGAAGTATAATAGAGAAATATATTATTTTTGATAAATTACTGGTAGATAGACACAGTAGCAATGTCATATGAAGGCGGATTGCTGAGTCATTGAGCTGACCTCAGTACTTCAGGATGCATGTATAAACGAAAGCCGTGACAGTTTGTTTTACTGTGGCTCACACTTCTTTCTTCTCCTCCTCCATAAGTTACAGGCTTACTACTACTTGGAAGCCATAGTGGCTTAATGACTTTATATCCTCTGTGCTACATAGCATAGTATCTTTTTTTAAAAACAGAGTCTGAGGGCGGGCGCGGTGGCTCAAGCCTGTAATCCCAGCACTTCGGGAGGCCGAGGCGGGTGGATCACGAGGTCAAGAGATCGAGACCATCCTGGTCAACATGGTAAAACCCCATCTCTACTAAAAATACAAAAAATTAGCTGGGCATGGTGGTACGCACCTGTAATCCCAGCTATTCAGGAGGCTGAGGCAGGAGAATTGCCTGAACCCAGGAGGCAGAGGTTGCAGTGAGCCGAGATCGTGCCACTGCACTTCAGCCTGGGTAACAAGAGCGAAACTCCGTCTCAAAAAAAAAAGAAGCAGAGTCTGACTCTGTCGCCCAGTTGTATCCTTTTTTTTGTTTTTGAGATAGAGTTTCATTCTGTCACCCAGGCTGGAGTGCAGTGGCACAATCTTGGCTCACCATAGCCTTTGCCTACTGCATTCAAGTGATTCTCTTGTGTTAGCTTCCTCAATTAGATGGGATTACAGGCATGTGCCACCACACCCAGCTAATTTTATATTTTTAGGGAGACGGGGTCTCACCATGTTGGCAAGGCTGGTCTCGAACTCCTGGCCTCAGGTAATCCGCCTACCTCAGCCTCCCAAAGTGCTGGGATTGCAGGCCTGAGCCACCGTGCCTGGCCTGAGTTGTATCTTTTTGCCCTGAGCAAGTATTCTGTATTTAAATGTCATCATAAACAGTTAACTTAAATGTATTTTTATAATTAAACTTCTTATTTCTAAAATTATGTAAGTTAAAATGTGTACCTGTTTTCTCAAAGCCCTGAAAAATGTTGTAATGTGCATTGGGATGGACTTTAGTTTTAGTATTGTGCTAGTTAACAAACGCCAGTAGAGGGAGCTCCAACTCATTTTTGTTGGTGAAGTTCGCACTTCAGGATGTAGTTTTGTAGAAAGGGCACACATTTAAATGTAAAACTTAAACAAAACATGGTTATATAAATTTTTAAAGGTACTACAGGATGACAATTGTAATTTTCTTTAACTTTATGGAATAAAACAACCTCACTTTGATTTCCATAGTTTGAAGTAAACTGCCCTCTAACTTCTGCATAGTATATAACCTCTTGCAAATGAACCATCAAGCCATCCAAGGCTTTTAAAATCAAGAATCTATCTGGCCAGTTAAGGAAGAGGAGGAGGAAGAGGAGAGAAGGGAGAAGGAGTGGTTGTCGTAGGGTTATTGTTTGAAATTAGATTAAGTAAAGTAAAATTGTTAATTATTGGTAGTCACAATAGCAGTGTCGTACAAAGGTGGATTGTTGAGTTATTGAGCAGTAAAGGAAAGAAAATTTTGTATTACTGAGAACTTTTATGCACGCAGAAGCTTTTTCAACCAAAATCTATAAAGGCTCCATTCAGCACCTTTGCTCAGATCTAGAGAGTTTGTCCTAATTATTTTCTATTGGTTACTTTATAGACCCCAGAAGAAAATATCATGTGAGGCTCCTGGCTTACAACAACATAGAAGATGGCTATCAGGCAGATCAGACCGTCAGCACTCCAGGATGTGTGTGTAAGTGAAAGCTGTGGCAGTTTGTTTTACAACGGCTCACACTGTTCTTTCTCTTCCTCCTCCTTTAAGTTACAGTCTCACTACTACTTGGAAGCTATGGTGGCTTAATTACTTTATGTCCTCTGCGCTGCATAGCATAGTGTCTTTTGAGACAGAGTCTGACTCTGTCACCCAGGCTGGAGTGCAGTGGCCCAGTCTTGGCTCACAGCAACCTCTGCCTCCCAGGTTCAAGCAATTCTCCTGCCTCAGCCTCCCAAGTAGCTGGGACTATAGGCATGTGCCACCATGCTAATTTTTTTTTTTTTTTTTTTTTTTTTTTTTTGCAAATACTGTATAGTAGAGATTGGATTTCACCATGTTGGCCAGGCTGGTCTCAAACTCTTGGCCTCAAGTGATCCACCCGCCTTGACCCCAAAGTGCTGTGATTATAGGTGTGAGCCACCATACCCAGCTAAAGTATCTTAAGTGAAATAGGTGCTCAGTAAATTCTTAAGTGAGTTGTATTGAATTATTAGTCCTGTTTTCATTTTGCCTGCAGAAGACAGTAAGACATTTAACTGAGGAAAATAACTACTGAATAGCTACAAACTGAGTTTTTTTTAAATCTGTTTTTACCTCTAGGCTAATTGTTTCTCTCCAATTGCTGTTCACTTGTACTGCTCCTAAGAAGGATATTCTAGTCTTAAGTCTCCCACTGGTTTTCTCAGTGTCTTTGGCTGGTAGCCTGACTTCTCTGTGCTTCTGCTTTCCAATCTTTTAAGTATCAGTAATATAATCATGCATAGCAGAATGACATTTCCGTCAACAGTGGACCGCATATGTGACCATATGTCCCATAAGATTATAACGGAGGTGAAAACATTCCTATCACCTATGACATTGCTGTTATCGTATATAGCAACCTGTTACCGTTTTCTGTTTGGATATGTTTGGACACACAAATACCATTGTGTTACAGTTGCCTACAGTGTTTAGTACAGCAGCATGCTATACAGTTTTGTAGCCTATGGGTAATAGTCTATAACATAAAGCCCAGTTGTGCCGTAGGCTATATCATTTAGGTTTATGTAAGTGCACTCTGTGATGTTCACACAATGGTGAAATCACTTAATGACACGTTTCTTAGAATGTATCCCTGTTGTTAAGTGATGCATGACTGTTTTTGACCCCCTGTTCATCTCATGGAAGAGTTGTTTAGGTTTGGATGATCTATCTCTAGATCACTATGAATCTCTGTTGGAAGAAAGACCTAAAATCATCTTACAGACTGAGATATTATTATTTTACCATTTTACCACTTTCTGTGCTATATGTTATGTCGTATTGTAAATTAACATTGTTTTTCTCAATAGCTGTTCGTGATCGCATGGTCCCTCCTCCACCGCCACCCCACAATCTCTATGCAAAGGCTAACACCTCGTCTTCCATCTTCCTGCACTGGAGGAGGCCTGCATTCACCACTGCACAAATCATTAACTACACCGTCCGCTGTAATCCCGTTGGCCTGCAGAATGCTTCTTTGGTTCTGTACCTTCAAACGTATGTAGCTCCTATTAATGCTTATCTTCTTTGCTTACCTCCCCACACCCTACCTGCAACTCATAGTTTTTACCTTCTTGGGCCCAGCTTGATCTTCACCTGTAAACATTTGTTTCAGAACTTAAGTTACTCGTAAAGTGGCTGGGAGTTTTGCATCCTTACCATTTTCTGAAAACCATACTTTTTGACATTAATTTATGTAGGTGATTTTTAAATTTTCCTTGCCTCATGCAATAAGATTAGGCAAGAAGCTATTATTACTCTCAAGTGACTAAACTTAGCATGTTTAAAGAAAGAAGACTATTTTCATGCTGGCAGTCAAAAAGTAGGGACAGTTGTCATTCTGTTTCTTGGTTAGAGTTGGAAAGATGCCCATCACGGTGCTCTAAAAGAATGATTTTTGGGAGGCTGAGGTGGGAGATTGCTTAAAGCCAGAAGTTTAAGATCAGCCTTGGCAGCATAGCCAGACCCCATCTCTACAAATATATATATATATATATATATATATATATATATATATATTTTATGAGATGGAGTTTTGCTCTGTTGCCCAGGCTGGAGTGCAGTGGCATGATCACGGCTCACCGCAACCTCCACCTCCTGGGTTTAAGCGATTCTCCTGCCTCAGCCTCCTGAGTAACTGGGATTATAGGCAACTGCCACCATGCCTGGCTAATTTTTGTATTCATAGTAGAGATGGGGTTTCTCTCCATGTTGGTCAGGTTGTTCTCAAACTCCCGACCTCAGGTGATCTTACCACCTCGGCCTCCCAAAGTGCTGGGTTTACAGGTGTGACCCACCGTGCACAGCCAAAAGTAAAATTTGTTTCATCATCCAGGCATGGTGGTTTATGCCTATAGATAGTCGTAGCTCCTTGGGAAGCTAATACAGGAGGGTTGCTTGCCCTCAGGAGATAAAGGCTACAGTGAGCTGTGATCCCACTACTGCACTGCAGCCTGAACAACACCTTGTCTTGAATGAATGAATGATTTGGTTTCTGGTATTTCAGAGGAAATCTTTTTTTATTGGGACATTTTAAGTTTGCTCTCAGAGAGGCAACTGATAGGCTCATTTCCATATGATAACACCAAATGTGATATTTTAAAAGTCCTATTAAATTGTTCTTTTAGTGTAAACATTTTTTTCAAATAAAGTAAGGAGGTAAAGAAAAGTATGCCCTTACCTATTTGGAAATGCTGACATTCTTTTAGAAACAGTATGCTACTGCGTGCCTCTAGACCCAGCTACTCGGGAGGCTGAGGCAGGAGAATTGCCTGAAACCGGAAAACGGAAGTTGCAGTGAGCCGGGATCGCGCCATTGCACTCCAGCCTAGTGATAGAGTGAGACTCTGTCTCAAAAAAAAAGGAAAAAAGAAACAATATGCTACCAGCGGTAACAACTTCATCACTCATTATTATAGATCAGAAACTCACATGTTGGTTCAAGGTCTAGAACCAAACACCAAATATGAATTTGCTGTTCGATTACATGTGGATCAGCTTTCCAGTCCCTGGAGCCCTGTAGTCTACCGTTCTACTCTTCTAGAAGGTAAAGAAAACAGCTCCCTATAGATTTTATCTTTTAAAAAAAATTAAGGAAATGTTTAAGAAATATGTATTTACTCTGAGTAGGATATTACCCTAGTTGCCACCTACCAGTTGATTTATGTATTTGTTTTGTTTTGTTTCTTTTTTTTCACTGTTGAAATTTCTTTTTCCTTATTATAATTACATTTTTTCTTCTCAGCATTTGTATTGTACAAGCAGATAGGCTTAAATTTAGTGTCCTTTTAGAGACAAAAGAAAAAAGAAAAAATCGGGCCTGTTCTTCAAATCTGCAGCCAAATAATTTCAAATGGCAGTTAGTGAATAATATGTTTGTTAATGATCTTAGGAGCCAACGTTATAATGAAGTTATTTCTGTACGAATGGCAGCTTGGTAGTGTGCACAGAGCAACGTATATATCGGATTGAGCACCAATTCTGTAGCTTACCTATGACTCTAAGATGTTTTATGTCCCTAGACCTACATTTTCTTATCTCTAGAATGAGGATGAAGGACTAGATAATCTATTATATAGGCATCATTTCTACTCTATTTTAATTATACAGAGAGAAAGTAAGGGACATTTATGACATAGGACTTTGTTGCTGTGGTTTTGGCAATATCCCATTTGAGATGTGTTAAAAACCAACTCTTCACACTTTCAGCTCATGTTAAACATGGAGTCAACTTAAATTCCAAGATTTTACTGTTTTTCACAGATATATTATTAGATTTAAGTCTGCCCTGTAAGTTCACTGATTAACAACTTTTCTAGGAATAACTAAATGTTTTAATCTCAGAAGCATTTTCTTCACTGGTCTCTTAAATCAGGTTAAGTTGATGCCCTATACATGTTAGTAAGAACTATCAGCACTAATGGGGTGAAACTCAGTATCTAATGGACAGGTTCTGTTGGTGGAAGTAAACATTTCTAGTTAGCAGTTTAGCAAAACGTTTCAGGAACTTTAAAAATGCTATCTCTTTAACTTAGATTCTCCACCTAGGAATGTACTATCTTCTTTATGTTTTTTAGTGTTTAAATATTATGAAAATAAAAGAAGAAAATAGTACTTTATTATGCTCACTAATGATCTTTGAAAGCTGTGATTTTTTTTGGTGGTTTCTAATGTTTTGAACTTTTTTCTAAGCCCATCAGCCAGGTATTTGAGTGTTTATGAACCATTTTGTTCTACTCATACAATTTGTTGTTGTGCGTGCACAGCACCGGCAGGCCCACCAGTTGGAGTAAAAGTGACATTGATAGAGGATGACACCGCCCTGGTTTCTTGGAAACCCCCTGATGGCCCAGAGACAGTTGTGACTCGCTATACTATCTTGTATGCATCCAGGAAGGCCTGGATTGCAGGAGAGTGGCAGGTCCTACACCGTGAAGGTAAATATGATCATAAATTGCCACGAAAGGTGAAAAGTAAGATTATGAATGTTAAAGAAATGAAAGGGGCATCTAGAGTTTATTTTGAATTTACATTTTTATGTATGAAGTAATAATTTAGTAAAGATTTTGGCTTTGTTCCAAGAGCCTTGGGAAGCCATCCACCGATTTTTAAGAACGATTTGTGTTTCAAAAAGGTTATTGTTACCTTGTTAATAAAAGAGGTTTGGCCAGGCACAGTGGCTCACGTCTGTAATCCTAGCACTTTGAGAGGCCAAGGTGGGTGGATCACCTGAGGTCAGGAGTTCGAGACCAGCCTGGCTAACATGGCAAAACCCTATCTTTATTAAAAATACAAAAATTACCTGGGTGTGGTGACGGGCACCTGTAATCCCAGCTACTTGGGAGGCTGAGACAGGAGAATGGCTTGAACCCAGGAGGCAGAGTTGCAGTGAGCCAAGATCGCACCATTGCACTCCAGCCTGGGCAACAAGAGTGAAATGCTGTCTCCAAAAAAAAAAAAAAAAAAAAAAGGTTTGGTTGAGGCCAACTGGAGATTAGAGTAATGCAAAGGGACTAGTAAGTAAGTTATTGTAGCTGTCCAGGAAAGAGATGCTAAGCCTGGACTAGGATAGTGAGGATTAAGATGGAAAGGAGAGGATGGTTGGCAGATATTAAGGAGTTAATTAAGGATAGCTTGGACGATAGGAGGAAGAGAAGATTAAGGAAGGGAAGATTTCTAATGGATAAGTCTTAGATTTCTGGTGGTGTGTCTTGCACAGGAGAGGGAAACACTGGAAGAAGATCGGATATAAGGAAGAAGACCTTTGTTGTACTAAATGGACTAAAATGGTCCACATACCAAAAAAATTGACCCTTATGATTATTAGAGTCCTCTTAAATACAGGGAAAAGCTAATTAGGGCTTAAGAACACTGACTTTAATTTTTTAGAGTAATTTCTTTTTACCTGAGAAAAACTGATTATAGTTTGTAGGATTCTTACTGCATACTTTTATCATTATATCCTTTTCTAAATCTTGCAATTTTTTTTTTTTTTTTTTGAGACAGCATCTCAGCCTCCTGACTAGCTAGGACTGCAGGCACACATGCCACCACACCCAGACTGAATCTTGAATCTTTAATTTGGGCAAGTCCTGTTTGCCAGTTTTTAGATGGTCCATCACATAAATTGTGAAACTTTATTATTTGGGCACTTCCTTAATTCAGACATGCATTCTGAGAAGAGAGTAGTTTGCCAACCAATAAAAAGCTGAAGAAGAAATTCAAGCAGGAAACGTAGTGGCCACCCTTACACTGTATAGTACTAGATACTCCCATATACATTGTACCTTTCAAGAGGAATATTTATCCAATTAAGAAGATAAACTTAAAAGATATTTATGTGCATGTAATATAAAATAATGAGTTTTAAAATAAGCAGATGATAACTTTAGCTGGAGTTTGATCATTGCATGTTCCTATTTTTTTATTAAGCAGAAGCCCCACTGGTAATGATTTCCTGGTCACTGAAGAGACTTGAAAGTACTAAGCATTTGGCAGCAATGATTTTATGTTTATATTAGTTATCTATTGCTGTCTAACAAACTAATCTACAACTTAAAATAACCATTTTGTTTTGTCACAGTTCTTTGAGTCAACAATTTGTACTAAAATCAGCTTGGCAGTTTTGTTGGTCTTTCACAAGACTGCAGCCATATTACAGGTTTAATAGTCTCTGAGTAGCCTCCTAAAAACATCAAGAGAAAGGCCGGGCGCGGTGGCTCACACCTGTAATCCCAGCACTTTGGGAGGCTGAGGCAGGCAGATCACGAGGTCTGGAGTTCAAGAGCAGCCTGACCAATATGGTAAACGTACAAAAATTAGCCGGGCATGGTGGGGCGCATGTACAGTCAGAGCTACTCAGGAGGCTGAAACAGGTGAATCACTTGAACCCTGGAGACAGAGGTTGTAGTGAGCCGAGATCGCGAGACTGCATTCCAGCCTGGGCGACAGAGCAATACTCCCATCTCAAAAAAAAAATCAAAAAACAGAAAAAAAAACCACACACACACACAAACAGCAAGGGAGGGCTTCAAAGTCAGAAAGAGAAAAGAGGAAGCCTCACATACACAACTTTCACAAGCCTCTGCTTGCATCACATTCAGTAATGTCTAATTGGGCAGAGTAAGCTACATGGGCAAGTCTGGAGCCAGTGTCAGGAGGGCTACAAGGGTATGTGAATCGATGGGAGTATAATTTGCTAGAGGCCCTTAGTGTTTCAGTCTACCACAGTATTTTTTTTGGAGATGGAGTCTCACTCTCTCGCTCAGGCTGGAGTACAGTAGCACAATCTTGGCACACTGCAACCTCCACCTCCAAGGTTCAAGCGATTCTCCTGCCTCAGCATCCCAAGTAGCTGGGACTACAGGTGCATGCCACCACGCCCGGCTAATTTTTTGTATTTTAGTAGAGACGGGTTTCACTGTATTGCCCAGCCTGGTTTCAAACTCCTGAGCTTAGGCAATCCACCCGCCTTGGCCTCCCAAAGTGCTAGGATTACAGGCGTGAGCCACTGCTCCTGGCCTCACAGTATTCTTAAAATACATAATTTGGCTTCAGTTATTCAATTCCATAATGATTTATTGACACAGCACTTAAGCAAATAACTAACTCAATTTCATTAGGTGTTATAAGTATTAATAAAGAATTTTGATAGCATGAACACATATTTCTTTGAGTTCTTCATTTGTACCTGCCGAAAAAGAAACAATATAGAGCTGAGCACAGTGACTTACACCTGTAATCCCAGCACTTTGGGAGGCTGAGTCAGGTGGATCGACTGAGGTCAGGAGTTTTGAGACCAGCCTGACCAACGTAGTGAAACCTCGTCTCTACTAAAAATACAAAAAAGTAGCTGGGCATGGTGGCATGCACCTGTAATCCCAGCTACTAGGGAGGCTGAGGCAGGAGAATCGCTTGAACTCAGAAGGCGGAGGTTCCAGTGAGCCGAGATCATGCCATTGCACTCCAGCCTGGGCAACAGGGGTAAAATACCGTCTCAAAAAAGAAAAGGAAGCAATATATATTTTATTCTGGCTTCTTTTAAATGTATCCATTTGTAATTTTGGAACAGGGCTCAGAAAATAGCATTTTGCTTCATTGATGTCTCAGTTGTGAAATGAATTACAGTCCAGATTTTTACATTTATATAAGCCCGTCTAGCTATATAATAGTGCACAGGAAAAAATAATCTGTTAGTTGCTGTGGTTCTAAGAAACATTATTTGTGAAAAGCTTTTGTCATTTGTTAAATGTAGAGAAATTTTTTCATAGCTAAGGCCAATGATTCATAGAAAACAAGTCAGTAAAAAGTAATTTAGTTTACTTTTCAGAGAGAGAAAGACATAAGAGTTTGACTCATATTTAAACAAAAAGCAAGGACTATAGCATGGCATTTAAAGAAAAAATGTCTTTTATGTATAATTATGGCAACTTTTGGAAAAGTTCTGGTATAGAAAAAGATAAAGGAAAAAATGTCCATTTTTTTCCCAAATACCTATTAATCTATACATACCAGGTTTATATATATTTACATATATATTTAATGCACATATTTTAATACAAATGAAATGATATTTTTCATGAATCAAAATATTTAAAAATGTTTCTGGTGAGCATGTAATATTTGTGGCTGAAATGGTATGTGGTAGTACAGTGGTTGAGCAGAAATATGACATGAAATTAACTCATGTGTAATTTAAAATGGATCAAAAATTATAGGGCATAAGCATGAGCCTGTAGTCCCAGCTACTCAGGAGACTGAGGCAGGAGAATCACTTGAACCGAGGAGGCAGAGGTTGCAGTGAGCTGAGATTGCACCACTACAGTCAGTCTAAAAAGAAAGAGATTCCAAGAAAGCCTTTACCTTCCTGGTATGCAGTAAATCAGCACAAAGTATGCAATTCTTTTTAAGTCTAAAAGGCACTGGAGGAAATAATGTTCTATATCAGCAATTCATGAATTCTGTCCTTTATGAATAGTTTCCTGTTATCACAAAGATCTCTGTCTTTCAAAAAAGTTTTTTTATGATTTAATAAGTTTGAGGAATACCATATACCTTTCCTCTTATTAGAGATTGATACTGGAAATTAGAAATCCTGTGATAAAGGAATCCATTTAACCCAACATTTACCAAATGAATTGGACCACCAATAGTAGGAACATTTTCATTTATTAAACTAATTATTATTGAGTGATGACTATGTGCCAGGCCCTATTCTAGGAACCGGCAGTACTGCAGTGAACAAAACAAAATCCCTACCACCACTGAAACTTATATCCCAGGTAACAAACCAACAAGTATTTACGATTTTAACTAGTGTCATAAATGCTATAAAAACAGTTACATCCGGCGTGGTGGCACATGCCTGTAGGCCCAGCTACTCGGGAGGCTGAGGAAGGAAAGTCATTTGAACCTGGGAGGCGGAGGTTGTAGTGAGCCGAGATTGCGCCATTGCACTTCAGCCTGGGCAACAAGAGTAAAACTCTGTCTCAAAAAAAAAAGACGGTTTCAGTAGGAAAAAAAAAAACAAAGCGATGGAGGCAGCAAAAGAGTTCTGTGGAGGAAATGACATCCAGATATAACCCTGTGGATATTTCAGGGAGGTGTAAAGGCCCAGAGGCAGAAGTGTACATTGGCATGTTAGAAAAACATCAAGAAGGCCAGAGAGGCTGGAGTGAGAGGAAGAGCAGGCAGTAAGGAATGAATTAGGGAGGTAACCAAGTGCACATGTAGACCAGACTTCATGAGCCATAGATTTTATTCTAAGAGAGGAAGATATTGGAGACCTCTGATCAGGTTTACATTTTGAAAGGATTGCTCTGGCAGCCACCTGTGAAATGGATTGTAAGGAGGTAAGAGTGGAAGCTAGGACACCATTTCATAGGCAGGTGTCCATGTGAGAGTTGATGAGGGCTTGGACAGGCATGGTAATGGTGATGGTAATAAGCTGTTGGAACATAATTTGAAAGAAAGGCCAGTCAGATATGCTTCTGTATTGATGTGGGGCATAAGAAAAAACAGTAGCGAAATAAGTGGGAGAAATCAAGGGTTTGGTTTTGAAAGCGTGAAATTTGAGATGTATCTTAGATGTCTGTGCAGAGAGGCCAATTAAGCAGTGGGAAAATTAAGTTTATCGGAGGGTTTTGGACTAGAGGTATATCTAGTCATCAATGTATAGGTGATATTTAAGGCTGTGGATCGGGAAAAAAATTACATAACCATGTGGACAGAGGAGATAAAGATCTGAGACTGTATTCTGGGTCACTGGTCCAACCCCAAAATCTTAACCTTTTGCTTTTATAATTTAAATGGACATTGTGGTCCAAATATGAAAAAAAAAAAAGTTTTCTGTTCTCCAAAAGAGAAAGAAGAGGAGTCAGAAGTAAAGGAAGAAAACTTGCTTTTACTGAATATTTACACTTGTGTCAGATACTTGCCAATGGTAGTTTATTTAAACCTTATAATAATTACATGAAGTGGGAACTATTGTCTCCACGAGGAAAGTACAGTTCAGTAACATGCCCCAAGTCAGAAATTCCTCACTTGGTTACAGGACAAGATTTGACCAGCTTTGATGTGAATTAGCCTGTTACACTGTCTTGCTTATAAGATTCCTAGTCTGACTAAAGATTCAGGCACATACAAAAGACAGGAGATGGAAATAATCATACTAATTAAGATTGAGAAGTCTGTTGAGAGAATATAGACAGATCACTTGAGCATTTGTGAAATGCTTTGAGTGTCCTCATAGGGGAACCAAAATGTTAGAATTTCCCTTTTATCTAAATGAAGATACTTTTGGGGGGAAAAGGGAGTGCATGCATACACGTACTGCTGGTTTGCATATAAAACTTAAATTAAGTGAAAAGATTTAGTTTCTGATAGTGATTAGTTTTTGCCAAGTACTTTTTAAAATTAAATACATTTTACCATAAAACAGAAATTCAGATTATTTATATCTCTATGAATACATGGAAATGTTCTTCCTTTTATCTAAGTGTAACATTCATAATACATCTTTGTTTTTTAATTCATCTGCCTAAAACATAGTAACAGTAGAAAGAGTCTTCCTGATTCTAAATAGGGGTCACTTTGTTTATTTAACAGTTGTGTACTCAAGTAGCTCACACTCTCTTCAGGCCAAGCTGAAACCAGAGAACATGAAAACAAGTTGTGTTCTGGCTCCTGGCATCGCTGCTGGAGGTTTGGCTGCCTCACACCGTGTGATCTGCAGAGGTGGCCTCTGTCTCATGACCTTAGCTCTTAGATCACCCCATGTTTTGCTTGCATAATGAAATATACTCTAGCAAGTGCACTGGGATAGCTAACTCTGGCCAGGAGGCAACTGTCACAAACTATTCTAAGGTGTTTGAAGCTATTGTTAAGGTTGCACTGAGTCAGGAAGAAATGAGATGAAGTCAGCGAAGAAAAGCTAGATTTCCCTGTGCATATCCACCCACAAACATAGTGCTGAAACAAGTTTCTGGTTGAATTTCTATTACACCTTTAGCACTAGAATCAATTCCTAGGGTAGGAGTGTTTTTGTAAGAAAAATACTTTGGTGCAGTGTGGCAGAACAAGACACCTCAAGAAATGGCATTGTCCAAATAGGAATCTTTCTTAGCAGTCATGCAACAGAGAAAATACCTTTAGATAACAAATATCATATATAAATTCAAATGATAATTAGGAAGAGAATTAGATCTTACATAGATTGCTGGTGGTGATTTTGATAGTTTAATCTGAGACATGTCTTCAGTACTCTGAGGTTCTTACATAATTGTGCATTTTCTTCCATTTATCTTAAACCTGTGATAAAAATTAGGCATACCGGGTGCAGTGACTCACACCAGTAATCCTAGAACTTTGGGAGGCCAAGGCAGGTGGATGACTTGAGGTCAGGAGTTTGAAATCAGCCTGGCCAACATGGTGAAACCCCATCTCTATTAAAAATACAAAAAAAATTAGGCAGATGTGATGGCAGGTGCCTGTAATCTCAGCTACTCAGGAGGCTGAGGCAGGAGAATCGCTTGAACCCAGGAGGTAGAGGTTACAGCGAGCCCAGATTGTGCCACTGCACTCCAGCCTGGGGGTCAGAGCGAGACTCCATCAGCAAAAAAATAAATAAATAAATAATAAGGCCAATAAAAAGATATTCCTGCTTTCAAAAGTAATCATGTTGTTCTAATTTAGGAAGGAAGAACAAGTTTACCTATCACAGCTGTTATCATAAGTGGTTTAAGCACCTCCAATTAAAAAAATGATTATCACACTGGATTTTTAAAAATCCAATTATAATCATTGAAAGCTAGGCACAGTAGAGTCTGCCCATAGTCCCAACTACTGGAGAGCCCAGGAGTTCCAGTCCAGCCTGGGCCATGTAGCAAGACCCTGTCTCTAAAAAATAAGAATATAATTATTCAATCTGGGTTGATTGTACCATTATCTCTGTGTGCATGTTTGAAATGTTCCATGGTAAAATGTCCTAAGTTCTATTTGTATTCATATCTATGCAAAGAGTAAAACATTACACACATACAAAAATAGATGTGTGTGTGTGTGTGTGTGTGTGTGTGTGTGTGTGTGTGTTTACCCAAACAAAAATGTGTACTAGTTTTAAGAACTCCTAAAATAGAATTACAGAGAAGGATTATATTGGGAATATGTACCTACCACAATGTTCAGTGAAAATTCTAATACTTAAAAATGTATGGAGTAAATATGTATTATGTATTCACAAATATTCACATATGCACACACAAAAAAATATACTGAAATGTTAACAATGGAAGACTGTAATTTTATTTATATTTCTCTTTATTTTCTAAATGGTCTACAATAAATATGTGGCATCTTTATAATCAGAAAAATATTTTAAAAAATAAAGGACAGTGTATAATATGAGTGAAAGAATGAAAGATAAACATTCACTTAATTTGTAATTGATGTATTTATAGGAGCAATAACCATGGCTTTGCTAGAAAACTTGGTAGCAGGAAATGTGTACATTGTCAAGATATCAGCATCCAATGAGGTGGGAGAAGGACCCTTTTCAAATTCTGTGGAGCTGGCAGTACTTCCAAAGGAAACCTCTGAATCAAATCAGAGGCCCAAGCGTTTAGATGCTGCAGATGCCAAAGGTCTGTATACTGCCATAATCACTGTGATTTAAAAAAAAAAAAAAAAAAAAAATATATTCTCCCTTACACTTTATTTCCACTCCTAACAATTGTCATATCCCTAAAGTGGCTTTCAGTTCCTTAAGTTGTTGTTGATGAGGTTCTGATGTTTTGGAGCTGCGTGGCTTTTCCCCGTAGTCCTAGAAAGAGGCAAAATTGCCTTAGAATTAACTGCAGTTTTAAAACCACTGTGTTTCCAGTTAATTCTTCTTCCGGCTTTGCATTCACAAAGACAGAGGAGCCACATCAGCCGTGAGCTAGTGGGAGTGGGCTTCCTGGGAGGTTTCACAGAAATAAACAGCAGTGGTGGTTGCGGTGTTCAAGTTAAGAAGGGAGCATGGTTTTCATGAACAGTTTTCACCACAGAAGAACAACCTTTCTGGAGAAAAAGATGGGTTTTTTTTTTTTCCCCCTCTCTTCAGAAAAGCAAATGGAAAAAATATCTTTAGAGAGCCATCCTTGCTGTGGTCATTACAGTTGTCCATGTGTTCTCAAGAAGGCCAGCGCCCCCTGTAGCACAGGAGTGACACTGCCTTTGCCTCCTCTCTGGGGAGTAGGCTTGTGGAGAAGAGGGGCCGCTCTAAATGGAGGAAATGCCAGCTGAACTCAGGGCAGGATTAAGGGCTCTTAGCTCCGCAGAGAGTGGTTATTCGGTGCCAGGGATGTGTGTGTGTTAGAATGAGAGAGGAAAAGAACAGGATGGGGCAGCCAGATTTAAGAACAGGAAAGAGCCACGGTAGCTACCGTATTATCAGGGAAATGGAAAGCAAGACTCATACTGACTTCTCAAATACCTTGCCACTCAGAGTAGTCTAGAACCCAGCGGCATGACGTCACCTGAGAGCTTTGTAGACACACAGAATCACATGCCCCATGCCAGACTTAGTGAATCAGAGCCTGCATTTTCACATTATCCCTAGTGACTCACAGGTAGTTATGAGAGCCCTGCTTTAGTGTATGTAAATGGAAAACTAATCTTCAACATACAGATCTGCTTTTAAGGCAGCATGACATAAAATCTGTTATTGGGTCTATCAAAGAACATCTTTGTGCCTGTTAATTTTATAAATTATGAATTGGTGTTGATGACTGCTATAATACGATATCTAAAATTCATATTTAAAATCTTTAATATTGGAAGATAAATGTCTCTGAAACCACTGATTAAAGATTACTGTGTGTCTTTTCTGCTTTGATATTGATAATGTCAAAACTTTTCCAATGAGCTGAAGAAAAATTTTGGAAAAGCAAGTATCTGAGAATTATAATAAATTGAATAGATTGATTCTGAGTAAATGTGTTTTCCCCTCTAGTTTATTCAGGATATTACCATCTGGACCAAAAATCAATGACTGGCATTGCTGTAGGTGTTGGCATAGCCTTGACCTGCATCCTCATCTGTGTTCTCATCTTAATATACCGAAGTAAAGCCAGGTGTGTTTCCATTGCTAGAGATGTTGAGGTAAAAAACATTTAAATTACAGTAGCCACAGGAAACAAATGGAAATCAAGTGTCTTTTAGAGTAACTGGGATTTCCTACTTTAAAATAAATGTGCATTATTGTTCCCTGAGTTCTTATAGCTATAGAAAATTGCTCATTTTAAGAGATTATTTTCTTGCTATTTGAAAATGTTACTATGACAATAAAACATTCTTAAATGAGGACCTAGTGTCCTTATGTGTTCTTTGTTTGTTTGTTTTATTTTGTTTTGTGTTTGAGACAGAATCTCACTCTGACGCCCAGGCTGGAGTGCAGTAGCACAATCTCAGCTTGCTGCAGACTTCACCTTCCAGGTTCAAACGATTCTCCTGCCGCAGCCTTCCAAGTAGCTGGGATTATAGGTGCCTGCCAACATGCCTGGCTAATTTTTGTATTTTTAGTAGAGGTCGAGTTTCACCATGTTGGCCAGGCTGGTCTTGAACTTCTGACCTCAAATGATCTGCCTACCTTGGCCTCCCAAAGTGCTGGAATTACAGACATGAGCCACTGCTCCTGGCCTAGTGTCCTCATTTTCTTAGTATTTTGAGAAATAGAATATCCTTTGGTTACAAAAGTAATAATAATGGCACACTTGTGCGGCCATGGTGGTAATCAGACCTTGGTAATCCCAGAGCTTTGGGAGGACAGCAGTTTGAGACCTGCCTAAGCAACATAGTGAGATCTTATTGCTACAAAAAATGTTAAAATTAGCTGATCATGGTGGTCATATGCCTGTAGTCCTAGCTACTTAGGAGGCTCAGGTAGGAAGATGATTTGAGCCCAGGAGTTGGAGGTTACAGTGAGCTATGATCATAATACTGAACTCCAGCATGGGCAGCAGAGGGAGAAACCCTGTCTATTAAAAAAAAAGAAAAGAAAAGAAAAGAAAAGGCACAATTAATCATGTTTATGAAAGAAATTCTTTTTCTTACTATCTGAAATATTTTATATTTCGATAACAGTACCTGAAGTGCCTAAGTCACTTCACTAGAGAACCTAAGAGTTCTCTAGACGTATGGTGGGATTCTCTAGGCAAGGGTTAAGACAAATGTAATAACCAAGGATTGAGTATCTGTAAACTCTGTCAGGAATTCTCATCTGTGGATTGACTTTGGCTAACTTTTCATTAGTAACTTGCATTCAGTAAACTTGTCTATTTTTAACCTTTATATTTTGGGTTTTGTTTTCATTTATTTTCTTAATGCTATTTTTTTGAATTAAAAAAAAGTTAACGTCAAATACAAGTTGTTTTAGGTAATCCCCATCATTAGACACCCTCCGTTAGCATAGATTTTTCAGTTTACTCTATATGTTTCCTATTTCTCCATAGAAACATACTACTCAAAAACTTTATGTTAATTAATTAAAGAGTTTTAACATCTTTGTGTATATAGAACTGCCTTGGATTGTCAAAGTTTCTCACTTAAAGAATTTTTAAATAAAGTATTTATGCACATTGTTTAGTAATGCCTAAATCTTGAAGTACAATTGTAAATTTACCATCATTAATTGGAAAGTGAATTGTTATGCTAGTGTAATAATCTTCAGACCTTACGGGGAGAATATAAGTTAAAAATTATAATTTCCACACAAATTACGAATAAGCAATAACAGTTGTTTGTAGAGAGTAATTTTATATTAAGTAGACATTGAGACAAAAAGAAATAAAGATGCCTTTTTAAATAATAAAAGTTTGCAGCAGTAAGTTAACATGCATTTCTAAAAATATTTGAGAAATGGGTATTAAAAGAACGTCATTGTTTGCGAAGTTTTGTTGATAGGCCAGGTGGTTCATCTGCCTGTATCTTCTGTGAAGTTAGAAGACTTCCTCTTCTTCCCAATATTTTAGGAAATCATCTGCTTCCAAGACGGCACAGAATGGAGCTCAGCAGTTACCTCGTACCAGTGCCTCCTTAGCTAGTGGAAATGTAGGAAAGAATCTGGAAGGAACTGGAGGAAATGAAGAATCTTTAATGCCAATGATCATGCCAAATAGCTTCATTGATGCAAAGGTACTGAGCAGCGAGATTCGCTGCATACGCCTTTCTTCCATTCCTCTTTCCTTTATGTGTAAAAATGTACTTACCAGAAAATTATAAAAATTTGGTTATATGTTTTATATGTAAGACCTATAATTAAAAGTTATATATCTTATATAATAAGAGTATTATATCAATATTCTTATTAATGAAACATTGAAATTTTACCCAGATCATTCTTTACATAAAATATTTAAGGGGGAAAAGGTAAGGAGAGATAAAAGGTGAGAAAGAGTTACAGAAAAACGTGAGGAGGTAACAAAAGTTCAATTAGGTGAGATTATATGGAATGAGGTTGCCTTACCAAGGGTACCATGGTCATTAGTCTATATTTACCATAATTTGGACTGACCTGTATTTACTGGGTGGTCACCTTTTTGTTAATCCATTTTACTTAGTTTGGTCAATTGTTGAACTTAATTGCTCATCAGAACATCCCAAGTATGAATGACGTTTTTTCAAATATGGAACATCTAAATAGGTGCCTCAAGATCCTTCATTTTATGGATAAAGAAAGTTGGATATACTAGAGAAACACTATTGGAGGAAGTTACGTCGCGTCCTCTCCAGTATATATATAGTAATAATGATAGTGCCATCATAGGCATTGTAAACACCAATTTTTAAAATGATTTTAGTCACATTACAACTTTAGATATTGTGTATTATTGCAATGGCTCCTGTAACCAATGTGCTATAATTCAGTTGTCAGTAAACAGTCCAACCAGGCCGGCCTGTGGCCTGTTTTTGTGTAGCTACGTTCTGAGCTAAGAATGTTTTTTCCTTTTTTTTGAGACCAAGTCTGGTTCTTGTTGCCAAGGCTGGAGTGCAGTGATGCAGTCTCAGCCCACTGCAACCTCTGTCTCCCAGGTTCAGGCAATTCTCCTGCCTCAATCTCCCGAGTAGCTGGGATTACAGGTGTGTGCCACCATGCCCAGCTAATTTTATATTTTTAGTAGAGACAGGGTTACACCATGTTGGTCAGGCTGGTCTTGAACTCCTGACCTCAGATGATCTGTTCCCCACCAACCGCACCCTGGCCGCTCGGCTTCCCAAAGTTCTGAGATTACAGGCTCCGCACCTGGCTGTGTTTTACATTTTTAAAGGTTGTTTACCAAAAATAAAACCCAAGGTCATGATGATGTGACACAGGCTGTATGTGGCCTGCAAAGCCTAAAATCATTATGGTCTGGCTCTTTAAAGGAAAAGTTTGCCAAAACCTGTTATAAATTAGTTTTCCGACCGGGCGTGGTGGCTCAAGCTTGTAATCCCAGCACTTTGGGAGGCCGAGGCGGGTGGATCACGAGGTCGACAGATCGAGACCATCCTGGTCAACATGGTGAAACCCCGTCTCTACTAAAAATACAAAAATTAGCTGGGCATGGTGGTGCGTGCCTGTAATCCCAGATACTCAGGAGGCTGAGGCAGGAGAATTGCCTGAACCCAGGAGGCGGAGGTTGCGGTGAGCCGAGATCACGCCATTGCACTCCAGCCTGGGTAACAAGAGCGAAACTCCGCCTAAAAAAAAAAAAAAAAAATTAGTTTTCCTTTATCCCTTCCTAAAATTTAGAATAACAGAAGTATAACAAAATTTTGATATTAAATTTTATGCAATTATATTCAACAGATATAATTTACTTGTATCTAGCACAGTATTACATACAATACGTATTATAGGTAACTAGGAATAAATGGGTATTTGCTATTTCTCTTGTCTTTTGTTTGCAACCTAATTCAGCATTTACTTTCTAATACAAATTAAGCCATTCAACTTATTTCAAATCAATCTAAAACATAGAACCTAAAACTTTTAAATGAGCTTAAAAAGTACTAATACATGTACTGTGATTATATTATTACTAGTTTGGAAGTAGACCTGAGAGAGGTGAGGAGAGAAGCAGAGTGGTGAGGGAGGATGATGTTGGGGAAAAAAGAAACAAATGAAAGGAGCAGAGAGGTGTAGAGGCCTGAAGTGAAGGAGAGAAACTCGTTTGGAGAACCTCTCTCTTAATTCCTTTGGGTTAGCCCTAGAGTTCATACTCCACCTAATGTCATTTTGTTGCACATATGTGAGTTCATTATGGTTTTTTTTATCCCCATCTGCTTTTTAAAATTTTCAAACATACAGAAAGGTTGAGAGAATAATGTATTGAACATAGAAATTAGTAATTGTTAACATCTTATAATTCCATATCTTTCTCTGTATATTTTTTGCTTGCTATACCATTTGAAAATAAGTTTTGGAAGATAGAGCATATTTATCTTAATATGTTTTGGCATATATATTTTATGTATAATCTTTTTTTTTTTTTGAGACAGAGTCTTGCTCTGTTGCCAGGTGCCAGGCTGGAGTGCAGTGGTGCGAGCTCAGCTCACTGCAACCCCTGCCTCCTGGGTTCAGGCAATGCTCCTCCCTCAGCCTTTCAAGTAGCTAGGACTACAGGCGTGCACCACCATGCCCAGCTAATTTTTTTTTTTTTTTTTTTTTTTTTTTTTTTTAGTAGAAATGGGATTTCACCGTGTTGGCCAGGATGGTCTCAATCTCTTGATCTCATGATCCACCCGCCTTGGTCTCCCAAAGTGCCAAGGGATTACAGGCATGAGCCACCGCGCCCGGCCTATGTATAATCTTAAAAATAAACCTATTATAAGGCCGGGCGCGGTGGCTCAAGCCTGTAATCCCAGCACTTTGGGAGGCCGAGGCGGGTGGATCACGAGGTCAAGGGATCGAGACCATCCTGGTCAACATGGTGAAACCCCGTCTCTACTAAAATACAAAAAAATTAGCTGGGCATGGTGGCACGTGCCTGTAATCCCGGCTACTCAGGAGGCTGAGGCAGGAGAATTGCCTGAACCCAGGAGGCGGAGGTTGCGGTGAGCCGAGATCGCGCCATTGCACTCCAGCCTGGGTAACAAGAGCAAAACTCCGTCTCCAAAAAAATAAATAAATAAATAAATAAACCTATTATATCATTTTGACCACTAACAAATACCTTGACTATGTTGTACTGCTTGTTTTAAAGAAGAATTTATGACATCTATGATCTTTTTTTTAAACATTTAAACATTTTGTGTACTAATGTTCACTATTTGGGTAATGGGTACACTAGAAGCCCAGTCCCCACCACTACGCAATATACTCATGTAGCAAACATGTATGTGTACTCCCTGAATGTTAAATACAATAAAAATAAAAAGGGAAATGCAAAGCAAATAGTAAAAGTTAAAGCATGCACTGCTTGTGATAAACTGAAATCTGTGATACCAAGATATTTTATGTTTCCCCTCTTTTATTTCCCCAGGGAGGAACTGACCTGATAATTAATAGCTATGGTCCTATAATTAAAAACAACTCTAAGAAAAAATGGTTTTTCTTCCAAGACTCAAAGAAGATACAAGCTCAGCAGGTAGCCTGTCTAAATGAGAAAAATCTTTGGCAATGCATGGTATATGAAATGATCATTAAAAAAGAGGAAAATGTGAATTCATGCTTTAATTTTATGTGTTCTTTACGGCTTTGATTTTATTAATTTGGGGCATGGCTCTGTAGATAGCTGAGCTGAGTGATAACTGAACGGGAGTTGGGACAGTCATCAGAGCTGCGGTTTTCAGTGAGGATTGGGGTCAGTGGAGAAAGGAATAGGAGCAGGAGCATGCATCAAAAGCACTGAAGAAGCTTTTGACACTTTGCTTGCCATAGATAATTCTGATGTGCTCCCAACCTTCTGTAGGGACCTGATGAGCTTTTGCTCACAGATTTGATCAGCCTGCTATTTCATTGCCGTCTTATCTTTTTTGGCCTAGCCTCAAAGAAGATTTACTCCAGCCGTCTGCTTTTACCAGCCAGGCACTACTGTACTAATCAGTGATGAAGATTCCCCCAACTCCCCAGGGCAGACAACCAACTTCTCAAGACCCTTTGGTGTCGCACCTGATACAGAACATTCAGCAAATAGTGAAGGCAGCCACGAGACTGGGGATTCTGGACGATTCTCTCATGAGTCCAACGATGAGATACATCTGTCCTCGGTTATAAGTACCACTCCCCCCGGCCTTTGATTCTTTCACTGGCAGTGATTCAGGTGGAGATTCCACCATGAGGAAGTGTGACGACCCGGCTGTGTCATCCGTTACTGAGCAGACTTCCTCTTCAGTTCTGCAGTCACCATCTGCCATGCTATGCTTTGATAAAAACAATTTTCCAATCTAGACGGCCACACTCAGGTATTCTCACCAGTAAGTCTGTTCGAAGGACAATGAACAGGGAGCCAAAGCCTTTTGTGAAAATCTGGATATCTTTATGGGGTATTTCAGCTTTTTTGAATGTGTTTTTTTGTTTTTAAACTTGTGTAATTTGAATGTTTCATTGTCAGCAATGTGAAAGAACAGTCAAGATGTTTGACTGGATTATAGAATATATCACTGGAGCAAAGGGAAGACTTTTGAAAGCCCCTTTGCTGACTATCTACCTCAGTTTGCCCCCCGGCAAACTCTGAAGACAACTTTGTTACCTCATTTGTTGTTATAGTTTATCTCAGCTACATAACCAATGATACTTCCTAGTAGTATTGTGTTTTCATTGCTGTATGTGTAATGTGTGTGATCAAAGGAGTCATATAGGTAGATGAGTAAGAATGTTTATCTGAAGCTCTGATTTTAAAAAAAAATGTGACATCCGCATGGTTTGGATAAGTTCATACCTCTGGCTGTGAGGACTGTTAAAACACTGAGAAGAGGAAAAGTGGGACTATTTATTTTAATGAATGATCAAAGCAAGAAGGTATATCTCTTTTAAGAACAGAACTATTCAGTAGCAGATAGGGATCTTTTTGCTTAAAAGGCCTTTATGTTTTGGACATTGGAGTCTGAATGCTTTATCTCCTATATTCCAAACCTCAACCTGCCTGGAACCGTGCCTTTCCTGTCTTCCTTTGCCTGACAGTTGGCCAAAGGCTGCACTGTCTGGTTTGCAAAGCATCCTCAACTTTGCCAGTGTTAGTTGCAAAACCCCACGCAGAAAATGGATTTTTAAAGAAAATGGGTTAAGGTGTTTTTTTCCTTTTCTTTTTTTTAATCCCAGTTTGGCTTAAAGGAATGAGGAAATTTCATAAACTGTTATGAATGAAGATGAATGCAACAGTAGACTGTGAAATGACCTTGAAGTTATTATGGTAACAGTGCCTTTCAGTATATATTATGAAATTCTTTGCCTTACCCCTTTTTAATATTCATGAAATTGTTTAGTACAGAAGTACAAAAAGTTGCCTTAAGAATTTCTTGGATTTTATCAGTAACTACTTTGATGTATAGTATCTTAACGAGGCTTTTTTTTAAAGTGCAGGTTTTGTCTAGGGATAAATATTCAGAGCTTTACCACCTTACTTGCGTTTTCTTGAATTCTTAAGAGAATTTGTTATCTACTTAATCTTCCTTCAGTGTCAATGCTGTGAATGAGGAATGCTAACTCCAGGAGGGAGTTAATCCTCTTGCTGGTTTGAAATCAGCAAATTGTTTACTCAGCTACATAACATAGGCCTTTTCTCAGTCCTGAGAAGGTTACCTAGGTGCCCAGCAGTGAGAGAGGATAAATAACTAAACAGGGGTAGGGAAGGGGTCCCATATCCTTTTAAAAGTATTTTTTCAAATTTTCTAGAAGTGACTTTTGAGTCTCATTTTAAGAGGAGTCTTGGCCGGGCACGGTGGCTCAAGCCTGTAATCCCAGCACTTTGGGAGGCCGAGGCGGGTGGATCACAAGGTCGAGAGATCGAGACCAACCTGGTCAACATGGTGAAACCCTGTCTCTACTAAAAATACAAAAAATTAGCTGGGCATGGTGGCGCGTGCCTATAATCCCAGCTACTCAGGAGGCTGAGGCAGGAGAATTGCCTGAACCCAGGAGGCGGAGGTTGCGGTGAGCCGAGATCGCGCCATTGCACTCCAGCCTGGGTAACAAGAGCGAAACTCCGTCTCAAAAAAAAAAAAAGAGGAGTCTTAATGGGTTTACACTTGAAATGCTTTGTTCATAGAGAGGGCAGGGTCATGTTAACTGATGGATGTTCTAAAATCAAAAGAAAATTAGCAGATAATAGTCCCAGCATCATCTGCTAGTCCAATGACTGTACATACAGCATTTTAAAATATGTAATTGTGTGCCAAACTGGATGTGATCAGTACTAAAGTTCAATGCCAGCAGCCACTTCTGGACTAAATTCAGAGTCTCCCAGTGAGTTATCTAAGGACGGAATTCATCGCAAAACAAAAAAGCAGAGCTTTAGGTGAACAGTCTGCAGCAAGGAAAATGCTGCTCCTGCCTTTATAGCTCCTGTTTTATACTACCTCCTTTAAAATTATTCTAGTGTTATTTTTTTTCCTGTACTCAGGGAACATTTTGTTACTTTTGAGCTGCCTCATGGAAGCATGGGCACAATGACAGGGTATGGCGCTTTTTGGTTCGTAAGTAGAAGTATATAGGGCCAACTTTTATCAGTATCTAAAATTAAGAAGTACAATGAGATCATTTTATTTTTAAGCTTTCATTAAAAGATAAACAAAATCTAAAGCTGAAACATCTTTCATCATGATTATGGAAGATGTGTCTAGGACTACATGAATTTAAATAGTTTTAAATGGCTAACAAGATGAGCCAAAGTCCTTGAGAAAAGTATTTTGTTTGTTTGGTTTTTGATGAATAGGCTCGTAGTTATATTAGAATTTTAGGCTATAACTATTTGATAATTATTTACCAGTACATTTTTTACCTTTTCATTTTCTTCTTATACGGACTTTTTCATAATAATCCTGTTACCAAAGAATTTTCAGTAGAAAGTAAAATTTTGATTATAATTCTCTCCAAATTGAATTAACTAGAAACATTTATAGATGTGAAGCTTACACAAGTAGTTACTAATCCAAAACAATAGGGTTTATATTGATTGTTGTAGTAAAATAGATAGTAATGTTAACTACCTTATTGTTACAAGAGCATTTAAAGTAAGTTATAATACTTATCTTTACCAGCAGATCGTTCCAAAGAATTTCAGGCATAATTTTTTCTTCAGCGAGTAAATCTTCAATTTTACAGTATTAAAGTATTTTTATATTGTTGAAACTACTTGTTGGAGAGAAAAAAAAATTTTCAACGAAAGTAAATACTTTGATCTCATTGACTAAGATATTTAGTGATACAGCAAAGACTTCTTTTTACTTGACCAAAGCAAGCTTCTTTGAAGTCTTAAGTACAAAATTGTAATTAAAATGTGAAGGTTTTCACTCATCTTTCATAGTGGTATTACTTCATGGTATTTTACTTTAAAGGGGCTGTTATGCAAATGGTAACTATTTTCTTTTCCAAAGATTTATTTGCTGTGAGTACTGATACATGCATGTCATTTTTATGCCAAATATTACAAGACACTGCTCATCAGTATTTTCATACCAAAGACCATTAAAATATATAGGTTAGCCTGTAAGTAAGTAAGATGAGCAGATTTGAAATAAATTTATTTAGAGGCTAATAGAGAAGCTAGCTTTAGTAGCAAAAGATATCAAAGGGCTAAGTTTACATAATTAAAAGCAATACAATTATATTGGTATTTATCAGTGTTTTTATTCAACTGCTTTTTCTCAGCAAATTAAAAAGAAAAAACCAAAGATATTTAAGGTTACCTCCGCATATAGGCAAATTTAGTTATACATTAAACTGTTGTTTCTTGTTTTTATGTTAAACCAAACATGTCTCTTTAGAACCCAGTCTGTATACAAATAGCATGCATGGGGACTTTCCCTTGAATCTGCTGATTCAGCCATATGATGTTTTTGCAAAATGATGTGATACTTTCCTAAGCACCATGAGTGTGAAATGTCAACAGAAATACCAGCAAGCTTTTCTGTTGGAGAGTGTTATGGTGCCTCTGAATTAGCCTGTAGTGTTCTCTTGCTGCTTTAAGCATTACCTGGTTAGCTCAGACAGCTTGAGGCAGTCCCTTAATAACAGGGATGCTTTTCATCTCTAAGGATGTAACAGGCAAACAAATCATGTCACTCCTTAAGTGCTCTATGCTTTGATAGATGTGCTCTTTAAAGTTGTTAGATTGGAATTTAGAGTCGTTAAATGGAAATGTTTCATTGCATCAAGGAGCTCGGTTTTCAAACTTTAGTGGAACCTTGGGTGAAGGGAAAAAAATTTTAATAAAATCTGGGGTTTTATATTTTAATTAGCCTAAAAGTAAAAATACGGCTATACAGCTTTTTTCCATTAAGTGACTTTTAAAAAGAAGTTTTGCCACACCAAAGAAATTAGATTTTTAGTGTAAAATGCTATACTTTGGTCTGTGCTTCAAACAAGAGCAGTGCCAACATTGGGAACAGTGACAGATATTTGCTTCAGTGTGTCTTGGCTTTGTAAAGGACTGCTGTCAGAAGTGTGCTCATGGTCGACAACCCAGAATCATTGTTCAAGTCCTTTTGAAGCCATCTTTGAAAACAATTCAGACTGTGTTACAAAAAGATGGAATTGAAAGTATCATTTATTTTTTAATACAAGAATACACAGATGTGGTTCCACTTCAGCAGTGGCTATAGCGGTTCACTTATACACATTTCTGTTTCACTGAGTGTACATGTTGAATACTGAATGTAAAGAAAAGTTCCAGTTATATTGAAACAGTCGTTATCTAAGACTAAATACGTATTTTGCGAACTTTGTTCCTGACCATTTGCCACATGGTTCTCTGATAAATTTCTATTGGTTTCATAGTGAAAATATTTTTTACAGTTTGTGAGCACAGAGTAGCGGATTGGGTTCTGGAGATCACCATATACAACCAGTTGTCTAATTGTGATTTTCATTGATTATTAAAAGAATGTAACCATAGAATTCTGTGTTAAGTTGATTTATGCTCAGGACGTAAGATCACAGGCTAATGCAATGTGTATGTTTCAGGCTTTAATCTTCTCAGTTTCCCTTTTTAAGCCACTGGTGGTGTTTAAGATTAACATGACAGTCTTGTATTTTTACCAGATACTGTATTATTTTTCCTATTGCTGCTGTAACACATTACCATGAAGGTAGTGGCTTAAAATAACACGTTTGTCTTAAGTTGTGGAGATCAGAAGTCTAACACAAGTATCACTGGGATGAAAACCAAGGCGCTTACAGGGCAGTTTCTTTTTGAGGCTTTAGGGAAAAATCCATTTCCTTTTCCAGCTTTTTAAGGCTGGGAACCCCTCCCTCCATCTTCAAAGCCAGCCATGTAGCATCTCTTTGATGCTACTTCCATTATCATTCTCTTTCTCCCATCCCAGCTGATAGGGTTCTCCAGGTTCAAGGATTCCAGTGATCACATTGAGCCCACCTAAATAATCCAAGATAATCTCCCCATCTGAAGTCCCTCAACTTAATCAGGTCTATGAAGTTTCTTTTGCTATGTTTGGTAACATATTCACTGGTTCCAGGGATTTGAGCATGGACTTCTGTAGGTGGCCACTATTTTGCCTACAACAGATATATTGTTTCTATGCAATTCTGATCCCTATAAAATGTCTGTAGCTTTAAAGAGATTGGAAATCTGAGGTCGTGTGCCCTTTGGGGATCTTTAAAGTTTAAAAGCATGAAAACTTTGACTTGTAGACTACCAAAAGTATACATTTAACTTTCTCT